CAGGGAGACTAAGAATTCTCCCAAAAGTGATCATATGCAAGAAGTCATGAATAATATGGTTATCCATATTATCCGTCGGTTAACCCTTTTTTTTCTGTATTAAATATGGGCCGGATCGGATAATTTATCTGTTTTTTCATTACCCGTTTTGACCCGAACCATATCCGCCCCGCCCCGCCAGTTTGCCGCTCCTACTTGTAATGGCTGGGAAGTGGAGAGAATAATTCAATTACTGAAGAAACTGTTTATTGCACAGGGCTAACTAAGGAATTTTTTTATATGGTTGATCCTATTCCCTACCCAGGAGGAGCAAACAAGGACTCTTATCCTCTTTGGTCAATTGGTGACTCGAACTCCTAATCTCGTGATTGAAAGTGGAGTGCTCTTGCCACCGGAACTACCTGACTTGTCCTAACTGAGCGAATTATTCCATAATCTGGTATGGAGAACAGAATGGTTTGTTTACAGTCAAGTCATGAATGACATTCTACACTCACCAAATCCTACATCACAACAGAAGAAGATTTGGAACACGATGGGTGGCAGCAAGTGGTCCTCCCTTACATATCAAAATATGCAAAAAGGAGGTACCTAGTCTGCAGTAATATATGTGTGAAAATGATGTTGAAGACACAAACCATCTATCTATACACTGCCATGTTTCTATGCATTTGTGGAGCTTGTTTCTATGCGGTTTGGGTATTAAATGGAATGCCAAGGTCTGCGGTGGAGTTGGGCATCAAAAGGGATAAGTAAAGGAGCTAATAGACATGACATAATCCTAGCTGGTGTGACTTTGGTAATCGTGGAAGGGAAGGAATCAAGATGCTTTGAAGGCAAAGCTAAAGCTACTCATTGCCTGGAGTATAAGTGATTTATCTTTTAGCTTTATGGTGTAAATTGGAATAGGCATATGAAGTGGATACAGTGCTAGATTTTCTTAATGTCTTGCAAGCCTAGATAAGTAATATCTTCTCTGTTCATTTTTTTTTTGTAACCCAACACCATCTTTGTCACGCCCCGAACTCGGGAAGCGCGACCGGCGCTCAACCGAGGGAACCCGGTCAAGTAAGCCTGTTAAATACTTTCTACCCAAACTCACTCATGATTAAAGAGAATGCATTTTTTGTTAATTAAACAATAGGGAGATCATATAGACAATACCAATTCATTACCATTAGTTACTCCATTTAATAAGTCACAAATACACGCATATTCATGGTTTGAAGTGGAACAAGTGATCAAAACATAACATAACTTGTTTGACTTTCCCAGCACCCATATACAACCCATACCATGTCTATGGAGCCTCTAGAAGATACCAAGGAGTACAATAATAGTGCCGGCAACAAGGCCTCAAAACGTGCTAATATAAATGAACGAAAGATACATGACCCCGGAATGAAGTGGGGCTCACCAAGTCTGTTGGGCTATGTTGCTCGAACTTTCCGAAAATGTGGTCGTATACGTGTCAGATCCTTCAAAAGTAGTGCATTTTTGAAGGATCCGACATGGGTGCGGCTACATTTTGGAGAGTCCACACAACATAGCTGCTGGGAAGAGGGTGTACCACTATCGTTGATCAACACCGCCTGCTATGGAACCACCTGCATCCATTAAAGATGCAGCGCCCCCAGCAAAAGGGACGTTAGTACATATGGAATAGTACTAGAATGTATAACTAAACACCCTCTCAATAGAATGAGTAATAATGCAAAAAGGAACAATCATAATTTCAATTCAAAACCTCAAGCGATATCAAACATCAAGTTAGGAGCAAGATAAGTCTTTCAAGTAAGCCTTCATGTTTTAAGTTAGGGGATCTTAGTATCGATATGTCACCATTCACAATACCACCGTACTTTTGGTACGGAGTCCGATCACGACCCGATCGGCTAGGCCGTCTCATTCGAGACATCAACCACAATCACAATTTCGATTTAAATTACAATTTCCAGCACAATCACCACCATGTGTGCGGCATGCGTTCGATTATGACCCGATCGGCTAGGCCGTCTCATCCGAGACATCAACCACCATCACAATTTCAAGTACAAGTTTCCAACTCAATCACCACCATGTGTGCGGCATGACATCCGATCACGACCCGATGGGCTAGGCTGTCTCATTCGAGACGTCATCCTTTTCTATCAATCATCCCATTTCATACTTCTTTCTCATCTCTTCATTTTTTTTATTGGCACTAGTAATCACAATTTTATTATTTTTCTTGGTATGTTGGCCGTGTTTCATATTTCACATTCCGCATTTCATGTTTCGTATTTCATGCATACCTTTTCACTTTCAATCATCATCATGGACTTTCCAACAACAAGGCATTTCTATTCAAGACATATAAGCACATGTATGAGCGATAAGAGTTTTAGGCGCATTAAGATTTCTTACACAATTGTCATTAGCTTTCGTTTGAAAATCAACTTGAAGTCATGGCGTTTAGATATGCAATCCATAATTTGAACACATCCTCAAGTAGTAGTACAACATAACAAGAGCATTTGAAATACATGCTGAACACATACGTCTTGACACAAAGCTTATTCGGAATAATTAATTCATAATGAACAACTCGAGACTTACAAGGACATTGTGGGGTTCAATTCTAAGAGAATAGTTTAGCCAACATACCTCACTTGAACTTCCTTAAACTCTAAAATGTTCCTGAATTCTTAGCAACTTCGATCTATTTTATAAATGTAACAAATTGAACCAAAATTAGGAAGATGGTCATGGTCCTAGCTCATTTGGGCATTTTATTGAACACTAGGTGTGCATTAAGGTTTCAAGGTCTTTTTATGGAGGATTCCATCATCCTACAACCCATTCTTTACCATTTTTAGCTCAACAATCTTCCTACACCTCTTGATAACACATGCATGCAAAATAAATAACTCCCATACCCAAGAATTATCTTACTAATTACCCGTTTCCAGTTAAATTTCAAAATTAAGGGTTAGGGTGTAGAATCTTACCTTTTGGTTGAAGAACTTGTGAGTTACTCTAGAGAAATCTTCAAGGTTTGCGCAAAGATTGATGAACAGGCTTAGAATTTCTGTCCTCACTCTAGACCACCTTCCTCTCTCTCTAAAATGTAAGTTTTAACCTTCTAAAATGACCCCTAATAGTGTTTTATGAGAAGGGGGTCGGGTTATAAAACCCAAAAATGAAATTCCGAAACAGAATCTGCGGTCGCATACGACCGCATTATGCATCTGTGGTCCGCGAAATGGGACGCGAAATGGGACGCGAAATGGTCGTTCGGTCTGGGCACCTCTGCCTGGGTATGCGGTCGTTCTGCGATCCACATATCAATTCTGTGGTCGCACAATGAACTGCAGAATCTCCCCCCGAATTCCTCATGCTGATCCTGCGATTGACTCTGCGATTCGCAAAACAATTCTGTGGCCACGAAATGGACCGCATAATGGTCCCAAAATTTTTCCAAGTTTTCTGCTTCACTCTGCGGCCCGCAGAGTGATTCTGCGTCCGCATAGTGGGCTGCAGAAATGTCCTTTTCTGCCAAACATTTTCCTTTTAACTCCCTAGCGCATTGTTCGACCCAAAAAGTCCGTACCATACCATCACCAAACATATTAGCCTACCTTGGCACCATGGAACCTCGGGTTTTAAATGAAATTTTACGGGGCCTTACAATTTTATTGTAGGTTCTTTTGCTTGTTCCCAGACCCCACTTGTGGGATTTACTGGGTACGTTGTTTTCTTTTGCTTGTTCTTAAAATNGGGGGGGGGGGGGGGAGCTAAAGCCTGCCCTCACACCTCTTTATCGAGACACCATTTTGACTCCGTAATAAGGGGCTTGTAGTCTTCGGCTTCTAACTTTATCATATTATCTCACAAAGTTGTGACCCTGCACTTGTCTATTTCATGTTGTCTAATTATGTTTTGTTGCTGATACAGTATTATATTCTCTTTAGTAAGAACATAAATTAAAATAGGGAAATCAAAGAGCACGAACTTGCTTTTAATTAACAATCACCTTCAGAAATTTGCAATTGTTTTAAGTAACTTTTGGGGTCCACAAGAAGGTATTTTTGGATGCCTTTATGCACTTACATCTCCCTGGTGATGTGCATGGCTTGATTAAAAAAGCTGCCTTGTAAAACATATCTATTCATTAGTAGTTTTTCTGCACATGTGAGGGAAAAGGTCACTTCCTAATAATTAATAGTGAATAACTGTGTCAAGGAAAAAAAATCACTTCCTTATTTAACTATAACTTGAATTTGATCCTAATTGAGTCAAGTTTGTGAAGT